GGTTCTCGCGGCCGCCAAGCACCACTCGAACAAGTCCCTTTTTCCCCACTTTCGGCCACTAGACGTCATTTAGGACCACGGCGCTCCAGCGGAATGACGTGCGCTCCGAAGTCAACTTCTCTACATCTATTCTCCGTTCGTTTGTGTACACAATAAACCATTCCTACTATTCTGGCCTCCACCGACTTCTCCTCTCCTAGGGAACCGGACCTGGAAGATTGCAGGCGTTAGGTTTAACCGTCTTAGCCTTAACTCCTATACGTTTGTCGCTAGGCGCTTATTGGAAACCTCTGCGAATGCCGCCCTTGAGACAATATCACAAGGTAGAACAGATGTACTGGACTTATGAGCACGTCAGCTGGATAGATCGTTAACACAAAGCGGTCTTCTCCGATGGGGAGAATCTTCATTTGGATGGTCTGGACGTAAGGAATATTAATAACATAGGCTACGTAAACAGCCCGAAATCTGCGGTATATGCTCATGTACAAGTGGTGGTATGATAGCCGCGGGAGCCCTTGTTTCGGATAAGAAATTAGAACTCGTGTTTTAGTAAGAGAGTCAGAATGCTCAGTCATACACTTAGACACGTTCTGTCCATCTGTTAGCCTTCGTGGGCCGACACAATATCAAATGTGTGGTGATTCTACACGACAACTGATGTACATGTTTCCGGCTAACAAATATTCATGTTAAAATTATATCCTTGCCATCTCTGAGCCCTCATATTATCTTAGTTTCGACTCTGTTACAGTCGTCAGGAGGGTGTGTTGGCCTTTGTAGAACTAGTCATTCACCTCGTTAGAGCTGCGGTCATGGAAGTATAGGTGTTGACGACGTTTAAGACATAAGCCACCAAAAGGGGCATACTCAGGGTTAGGAAATGGTTGTTTCTGCCTGTGGCAAACAGACAGTCGTCCCATGATGTTGTTCCGCGTGGCAAAGGTGACTTTGCCGTCGGGCCGCTCTAAAAGGTGTAGCCGGTACCTATCCTATCTAATCGCTCCTGTTTGGTCCGATGATTCTAATAGAGAGCTCTGATATCTACTTTGTAGCACGCCAGTTTTCAAACGACCAAGGCTGTCCTGCTTTCCGTTCGATTTCAAAGTACAGAGAATCAATCTAACAACTTATGGGATGGGGCGGTGGATGACGACGGACAGTTCGATTTCATGCGTGATTACATGCACGGGGTTTGTGTTTACGAGCCGCGACCAGCTTGTAGAAAGTGTGATTATCCAGCATTAGTTTAGGTCATATTTTACATCCTCTTCCCTGTTAGGCGGTAGGCAGTGCTACACCTAGATACGGCTATATAGTCATCCTAGCCGACAAATGAATTCCAATGGGATGTCTGTTTAGTAAAAAGACTATCTGAACTGGCCTGCGCTGCTTATAGGATCGCAGTCACCCTCTCCACAGATCGTTTTGAATTAAGAACAGTGAGAAAATGTAACAAGTGTGTGTAACCGCGTATGTGGTCACATTTGCCGGTGGAGGTCGTTACCAGGATTTGAACTCTAGAGTCTGAC